CCCCAAAACCCCAAAACCCCAAAACCCCTTTAAAAAAGGTAGAAATTAAATTTCATAAAACTTCTTTAGATCAAAAAGTATGAATACAGCGGTTTTGGAGAGTATTACAGATACCCAGAAGGAGCAGATTTTTGACCCCTTGTTTAAGGAAGTCCATGATAAAACTATCATTGGGTATTTAGTCACCCTGATTAGAGAGGAGGGAGGTCCAGTGCATGAAACTATTCTTTTCAATAAAACAGTCCAGAACTTCAGTAACTTAAGGAAACTCTCGGGAGGAAGCTACACGGGAGAACCAGTCTCAGCTGCAAGAGCAGCACTTGCTTCAGCAGAAATATTTAAGGTAAGTTTTAATACTATAGATGACATACAATAATAAGAGGCTAATGAAAATGGCAAAGAAGAATTTAGAAAGCGGACTTGGCCAAAGGATGAATGAGATTGAAGCTTTATTGGACCCAGATAATACTAAGAGAACTCTTGATATCTCCCCAAAAGTTATTGATCAGTATTCACAGATGAGTCAGAAATTGGTAAGTTTAACTATTTGATAATCGGACATTTAAAGAAGGAGCTTATGACATGTCAACCGAACTAGAAGGGATGCTAAATCTATACCATTTTTTCAGACCGATGATTTATGGGCATTCGAAGATTACAAACTATGTCTTTGAAGTCACAACCAAGATAGGTGCAGTAAAGATGATTGACAAAGCTCTAATGGATATTATATGTTCGGTTGATAATCTACAGCAATCAAAGCAAGACGTGAACAATCTACCACCTCAGATGGTAAAAAAGGAAGAGGAACAAAGAATTCCTTTGGGTAACCTTACAAACATAGTCAAGAATGAAAATGCAAGTGATTTATTAGTCAACCAATATATGTCAACTGCCTTTGGAGGCTCACCAGTAAAACAGGAGGAAAATATCTGAGTGAATTTAGAAAAATCTTGTGAAGACTGGAAAGATGATGATAGTGTGTGAAGCACAGAGGAGTTTCCAACCCAGTCCAGAAAAGAGATAAAATTTTAGAAAATTGTTAGTCTCTTAAGGAAATAATTTTATTAATGTTAAGAATCAATATCCTTGTTAAGAATGGGGTTTTGGGGTTTTGGGGTTTTGGGGAGAT